TTTTTTAATAGAAAGTACCAAATAAGTTACTTTTGTGAACATTTTCAGTATAATAATTTCAATATTTTTCATTGTACTTTAACCGAATGAATGAATTCTTTGACTACTATAGAAAATAATTCGAAATTTTGTTTATTCTAATGAAAGAAGTTCTTATACACTGTTGAAAACTATCAACTATGATTAAGTTTCTGACAAAGTTAACATTTTGCGTAATATCGACGAGAAAGCCTGACAATTTTGAAAAGTTCGTATCTTGAACAGACTGTACATTAAAAAAATGCTGAAGTGTCGAATACAAGCTAGTCTAAGTGAAACCTTTATGTAGGCAAAGGTTCAGATCACAATTCAAAAATAAGATATTATTGAAAATTGAGGTTCCACTAAGAAAAAACCTTAAATTAGCCTATTTCTTTTCCGTTCCATAGGAGAGAATTCAATTAACATGCAATGGCTCGATCGAAATTCAATAAAAGTACGAATCTTTGGTAAATTTTTAGTCTAGCAAGCTTCTACGACTCGTCAAAATAGGCGTTGAAAAGTTTTAACCATCTGTAGATACTTTCTCTTATGAGAATAAGAAACTTATAATACATTTCTTAGGGAATTAAGATATGAAACACCAAGAACTGAATTCAAACACGATTCGAATCGGATTGATTTTTAAGAAGTAGATCGAACCGGATCGAATGAATTACAATTTAATAAATTTCGTTTGCCGACATCTGCAACATTTCATTAGAAGAAAGATTGATGCTTCTAGTTCGATAATGTAATACTTCCGTAGTTTTATCATATCTCTTTCTATTTTGGTCAAAATGGTAGTCATCAGCGATAAAGTATTCCGTTCCATTTCGCAAGTAATTTTAAACAAATGAATGCGTGAAGTACATTCAGAACCCAACTGATTTAATCTTCAATTTTGAGAAATTCAATGGTGATTTTTTATTAGAAAATTATATCTCAGTCAACAATTTTATCAACTATATTTGTGCCTATTATCTTCTCTTCTTCGTTCCTCTCTAATTTGTCGTCAAACTATTTGTCAATCACTCACTGACCATGTTCATCGATTTCTAGGATCAGTCGGAGAAAGCTGATTTTCTCATAATGCAGCTCAATACTATGATTTATATGTTTTTGATTAATTCTTCACGGTAATATTTATAATATTTTTATCAATGAATAGAAAGACGACGAGATCGATTATTTTCATTGAATCTTTTCCGATGTTTTCCTTCCAACCTCGTATAGCTTTATCGCAAACAGTGATATAGTTACATCGAATAAGGTTTTAATTCGTTGACGTAATAAGTTAGCAATCAGATCAATGAAAAGTAGGATATTATAGAGTCTGTTATAAGATTAACTCATGAAAAGTAAACTAGAACTACGTAGATAAAACCAACTGTACGAAAATTTTGCAATGATTCTGTCACTGCATTAGTAGTTACAAATTTAATCTTCTTCATTTTTCAGTTCTCAACAATTTGTTGCTGCAAACAAACAACTTATCTGATGCTTTGAAGCATTCTTCACCAATATCCTATGCATTGAAACGATTTTGGACAGATGTTGAAGTTCAGTTATGGTACAAGTATCACAATAGCCAATTAGACAGTTATCATTACTATTATTTGAAGAGATTAACAGAAATTCTGACTAGTGACTACGTTCCATCGAAACAAGATATTCTACACCTTAGTAAGAAGACCCCAAGATATATTAACGAAATCAAATGCACGCTAGACACAGGTATAATTCGTTCTCATAGTTTCATAAAATAGAAACACTCTTAAAACAGGAATCACCATATGGCTCATCGATCCATATCATAAGCTAAGATACATGTCCAATGCTAATAAATGGTTCTGCTATTTTGAAGATGCGTCAGGTTTCATTTATATTGTTGATCTTTGTTGCTACGATCAAGTAAGAAAAGAAGAATTGCATGTCCCAATTTGTACCTTTCATGGGTTTTGTAAGGTTCAATACGATGAAATAACAAATCGAATGCACGATTCTCTTGAAATATTTCACTCATTCTGTCAGTATCGATGGCTCAATGATATACAAATATTCCTTTATTTCAACAAAAAAGATGTCTTTGCCGACAAAATCACTCATTCAAGTTTAAGGTAAAAATTCTATTCGTTTTATATTCCTAAGAAAAACAACACATTATAATAACAGACAATGTTTTCCTGAATACAATGGTCGTGATGAATATGGTGAGGCAACTGAATACATATTATCAAGGTTCCTTCAAATGAACGAAAACCAACATAAGGTACAGCCACTATGATCTGCTTATCTGTGTTTTTATAGTACCTTATAGAAAATCTACCACTTTTTCACATCTGCCATCGATACTGAAAATGTACGATTTGTGATGTAAGTATTCTGATGAATAAGAGAAGTTATTGAGACATCATTGAAAAGAATATACAGTTCAGAATGTAATTTTCTGCAAGGGAAATTTCAGCACAGAGTGAATTTGAAAATGATGGCACGGTTCTACCTTTAGAGAATGAAAAAGTTTTCCAATAAACAGTGAATTGTTATCTCGAGAGAACACATTTCTACAGAGTTGAGGACGCTATCACAATATGCAGAAACGATTCTTTTATCCTATTCTAACATAAAAAAAGATTTTAAAACTTTTTATTTCAAGACATCCAAATTTTCGTATATTCGAATTAAATTTTTTTGAAAAACTGTAAAAATTTACAATAAAATTTGACAGTAATGCTTTTTGAAGAGAGAATTTCTAGTACTCTCATAGATGTGTCAAATTCATCGTAGCAGTAATGAATTCATAATAAATTGCAAGACAGTAACTAGAACAATTGATAATATTTTCTTTTTTCTTAAACCTTTTGTTCGCGATTTATAGGAATGCTATCACCGACACAAGTGTTGCTTTTCAAAATTTTGACTAAATGACTATTGATTGTTAGTGTTTGTAACCGAGCAAGTTCTCGAGGCGATAAAGACACTCAACATGATTGGACAACATGGATTGAAAGTGACATTGGTTTTTTTTTTCTTTTCAATATCATATATCGATTTAGCATCTTACTGGACCATTTTGACCGTAATGCTTAGAAGTCTCGGGCTTACAAAAGGATGTTGCGCTAGATGAGAATGCAAGCATAAGTGTGGATTTGATTGTGGGTGTAGATCATCTCTTCAACAACATTCACACCCCACGGCGATTGAAAAAGAAACTATTGAAGTATTTCGTTGGTAAAGCAGAAAACAGTAGTTTCTTTTTTTCTCTTGCAATAAGATACTTATCGATTCAAATCAATACTCGTGAAAAGTTGCGTGAATAAACGAATGTTGACAATATTGAAGAGATCAATCAAAAATTCTTCTCCGTCATCGTCGTCCTTCTCTGATGAAGTCCAAGATAAGCAGAAAAAACAATAATGAAAAGAAAAAAATAACATTTTAAAATTCTATTCAAAATTTTTGATTATTCTGAGTTCGACGAATGACGATAATGTAATCATTTTAGCCTGTTTCATTCTTATTCTTTCTTGCTTCGCACTTAATGTATGCAAAGAGATTTCGCTCATTACTTTCATCATCATCATTTTGTTAGCAACGTCCTTAAAATATAAGTACGAACGATCGAACTTAGAAGTCCTTACAGTCTGTAATAATCAACCAGAGAAATGTCAACACAAAAGGAAGAAAAATCGAAAACTTATGAAGAGAGAGAGAGAGAGAGAGAGAGAGAGATGAAAGCTGTTTTTGTTCGTTCGTATCGTGTGCAAGAAGTATTTACATTTTTATTCGTTTATTCGTTTACAAAAAATCACCATCATCATTATCGTCGTCATGGACAAGAAGAATTTAAAAGCAAATGCTAGTAGCTCATCCTTATTGTCCACTACAAATAAATCAAAGAGACCATCATTGTCGTCTACAACTGCCAGTAGTGAATCATCAACAGCAGCAGTGAAAAACGTGAACATAAGTGTTACGCTTCCAAGATCTGTTCGTCGAACTATTCAAAACTTTGTTCTCGTCTGGCTCGATGAAAATATCGATGTGTCGAAGAAGGATTTTCAAAATTCATTAAAAGATCTGCGACATATTGTGGCATCAATTACGACATTTACAAATGCTCAAGAATGTTTTAGTTTTCTTAGTGGCATTAAGAACGAAAAGATACTCATGATTGTATCAGACGTAATGGGACAACAAATAGTACCAGATATTCATGCAATGCCACAATTAGATTCAATTTATGTATTACATGGCAGTCAATCGGTTCATGACCAATGGACGAAAAAAACATCTAAGGTAAAAGGTGTGTACGCAAAAATCGAACTGATTTATGATGCATTAAAAATGGATCGTGAGCGATGTGATCGAGCTATGATCTCGATCAGTTTTAATGGTATCGATACCTTATTCATGTACACGCAATCATTACGAGAAACACTTTTAGAAACTGAAGACGATGATAAAAGGTCTATTCGAGAATTCGTTGAATACTGTCGCCTTGAAGATGATATTCATAAAGACGAAATTCAAAAGATCGAACAAGAATATGATCGGCATACACCTATTTGGTGGTACACGGCTCCCTATTTTATTAAATCAATGTTAAATTATGGTTTTCGACACATGGATGTTGATGTTATATTCAAAATGGGCTTCTTCATCCGCCACCTACATAAACATATCGAAAGCTTACACCGAAAACAACAGAGCAGTAAGACGGCAACGTTAGGTAAATTTGAGGTTTTTCGTGGACAAGGTTTATCTGAGGAAGCCTTTGAAAACATAAAAAAGACAAAAGGAGGACTTATGTCTTTTAACAATTTTCTTGCAACAAGTCGTAATCGAAACATTTCAGTAAAAAATTTTGCACGACCGGCAGCATTCGATCTGAATTCAGTTGGGATTCTATTTGTCATGACTATTGACCCGGCACATTGTCTGGCATCATCAATTCCTTTTGCCGAAGTCAAAAATGTTGGATTTTCTGAAGATCAAGGCGAAGAAATACTTTTTTCAACACATACAGTATTTCGTATCGATCGAATCGAACGCATTGAAGACAAGCATACTTTTCGCCTTTGGCAAGTTGATCTCACCCTCGTGGGCAATCAAGACAAAGATTTTGACAAACTCGTAGCACAAACTCATGAAGAACATAGTTTGGCAAAAGGTTGGCCCCGGCTGGGTCTATTACTTATTAAACTTGAAGCCTTTGCAAAAGCAGAAAAACTTTTACATATCTTGCTGCAAAAGGCAAACTATGATGAAGATAGAGCGGACTACAATTTTTATCTTGGTTGGATGTATTACAATATGAGGGAATATCTAATAGCACTTACGTTTTATGAGCGCGCGCTCGATATTCGCCGAGGAATGTTTCATTCTAACGACCGAAAATTGGCACAGTCCTACAATAGTATCGGAGAAGTTCATAACCGTATGGGAGAGTACTTGAAAGCACTTGCATTCTTCGAGCAAGCACTGGATATTTTAAAAATAACTCTTCTTCCAAACCATCCCGATTTGGCTTATATCTACAATAATATCGGTTTGGTGCATGATAACATGGGTGACTACTCAAAAGCACTTTCGTTTCTAGAAAAGGCATTAGATATGCATCAGAAATCTCTTCCACCAGTACATCCTACAATCGTGAAATTGAAATCAAACATCGAAAATATAAAAAAGAAATTGTAATTGTCCTTTTTTTCTTTTTCAACAACAATGACAGCTTTACCTTTGTTCTTTCTAATGTGGCGCTCATAGGGTGTGGGTGGGTGTAGAAGAATTGAGAATCAGACTAACATCCACAGCTTACCAAGTACAAGAGTACTAGACATCTAGCTAATAATTGAAAAAAATTAGTCCTATATGAACTCACAATCTCATCAGACATTCGATTTCCTGATAAATTGACGTTTCGCCCTTCATCACTGTTAGTACTCGCCACAATCTTTTTGTTTCATTATCTTTCACAAACATAAAACTAGTCTAGTACATTTGGTCTTTTCTCGTTTTCATAACAGTTTTCGAAACAATTTGATTGTTCAATGTTGTGTCCAAGATTATTATGAAAATGTACAAAAAATACCAACTTTTAAAAATCATCACAGTCGTTTAATGTTGAATTTTCGTACTCGATGATTTCTGTTCTCACTCACGTAGAGATTGCCCTTTCGATCAAGTGACAAACAGACTGGACCATAGAGTTCATTCAGTTGAGTGCCTGCAACATTTCCACCAATGAAAACATTTCCCTGTGTGCCTCCTTGAAACCAACGCATGATGCGATTATTCAAACAATCAGCCACATAGACAGTACCTAACTGATCTACGACGATTCCATACGGATATGATAATTGTGTTAGACTACTTCCTTGGCCTTGACCACCAGCCACAACAATACCTTGCTTCGCACCCTCTCTCCATTTCATCACTCGATGATTGTTCGTATCTGATACAAAAACTGAATGGTCTTGATCGACAAATACGTATGTCGGATTGGATAACTGATTGAGATCATTCCCTTGTCCATTTCCACCCGCAATCACTGTTCCTTGACTTTCGCCCATTCGATATCGTCTGACTTCATGGTTATCTTCATCAACGACGTACAAAAATCCACGATCGTCCATTGTTAAACCATGACATCGAACATTTGAGATGATCGTTTCTCCATTTGCACCCTTTTGACGAGGCCATCGAAGTACTCTTTGATTATTATAATCACAAATAATGAAACAATTTCTTTCCTTGTCTATGATCACATCTCTTGGACTATTTAACTGCCTAGAACGGTTTCCACCGGCCATAACTCCACCAGCAATTGCACCATGTTTCCATTCCATGATACGATGATTCGAACAGTCTGCAATGTAGACAGTTTGATCATCATCAACACACAAACCCCATGGAGTTTTGAGTTGATTCATTTTATTGCCTTCGCCATTTCCTCCAGCTACGGTTACACTATCATATATCCATGTCAGAGCCGAATTCAAATTTGCAGTACATACTAATGATACTGAAACAAAAAAGCATAATTTCATTCATAGATATTGGATCAATGTATATCAATGAAAAGCGATATTAGATAATAACAATATATCATGATTAAACATTTAAATCACTGTAGATAATGGAAATCATATTACTAACTTTCACACGAAATAGATCTAGAACTCTAAAAGACTATGTTTTGAAATTCAATATTTAGAGAGTCTTTCAGTTCGTCAAAGAATGATTCATCGCAATTATTTTAAAGTCCTTCGAGAATATTCTTTACAATATTGAATCAAGATTTTCTAATGTTTTCTCAACTCGTTTTAAAAAATCATATGTCAGATTGGAAGGTTTAGATTTGTCTTTCTGTATATGCATCTTCGACGAAGTTCTTCTGAAATAAGTTCGTCAATCGTTTGCAAATATATTGATTAAGAAATGATAGAATAAATATAAACTTTGACATGCAAGCTAAAAGTTTCGTTAATTTAAATTTTCTATAGTAAAACTTGTTTCTTAAATGAAAGTAGTCGTAATCAAATGACTGCTGCATGTCATGCTATGTAAAAGCGTTTCATATCAGTTTTGAAGGCCTGGAATTCTTACCCAAGGTCTTGGATTTGTTGCACTTCGAAAGGAGGGGGAGGGACGTGTTCAACTGTAATCTATGATTCTTTTTTGTTTTCCTATATGTTTAATTAAACATACTTACAGTTCTGTTGTTCGTCTTTCATTCCTCGAATGTAGATGAGTCGATTCCAATTAATTTGATCATTATTAATAATGATACTTTTAGTTATATCGTTTCGCAGAAATTGTTTAAGTGTTTGATCAAGTACATTAATTTTTCGTCTAAGTCGATCAATATCATTCTCAACAAAATTCTCTTCTTCTCGACGAGAACGAATTTCTTGTGTGATTGGTTCAAGTTGTTTTGTAATTACTATTCTTTGTTTATCAATTAGTTCACTGAGTTCATGATGAGCTTTTTCTGCTGCTTTTTCGACTTTACTAATTGTTGTTTTCTTCCATTTTTCAATTCGATCAAACATATCCAATGAAAAATGATTTGATTTTTCTAATTTGTATATTTGTTCAAGAAGTTCATCATGTGATCTAACTATTTCATCATCGAATTTTATTGCTAGTTGCTGTTCATGTTGTCTGAAATCCTTCGGACAAAAGTATTTTTTACATCCAGTACAACAGTATTTAGCCGAAGGTTTATTACAGGTTGAGCATAAGCTTGGATCAACCGATGTTTCCATTTTTCTTAGAAGGAAAATCACGAGACTTATGTATTATATTAGGAAAATGTCTTAGAAAATTGCGATCTAAAATGAATGTATTAGAATATTTTTAGAAAATAATTATTTGATTCAATCTATGTTTATACCTTACTCAATAAATCGATTTAGATAGATAGAAGGTGAAATTCAATAAGAATATCTATATTTAGACTTAATACGCCAATATTTTTTCAATAAATGACAGCTAATTCCTATACGATAAAATCTACTGCAGTCTTACAAGGTCTTTGCATAATATTTTCTCATCAATTTAAGAGAGAACTTCAATTAAATGTTTGATTACTTCGAATAACACCATTCTTTCTGCTGATAAACAAACGATTAGAAAGGTTTCTCCCTTCACCAGTTTTGACCAGATTTTGTTTAGTCCCCATAGCAATAGACAAAAAATTGACTTAAGTTTAAGTGACTATTACTAAACTTTCTAGAGAAATCTTAAAGATTAGGTAATAGTTCCTAACTTAATATTGATGGTTAACTCATGCCAGAAATAATGAGTGACTGAAGTAGAATTAGTTACTTCCGCATTCAAAATTCTTACTCGTGATTTGATCACATTGTATTTTGTTGCTTCTTATAAAATAAATGATGCGAAAAGTGACAAATTAATAATGAAAGGATTATCACTCGGAAGAAAAAGTGTTTGGAGAAATGATTCATTAAAATTGAAATGATTCGTTGACGGTATAAGTCCAATCAGAATATAATGATAAAGATCGCCTACACTAAAGAATTAATATAGTATTAAGTCCAATGAAATGTGTATGCATCTTCACTTATAGATTCAAAGCATCCACCAAACCTACGACAAAGCTATCATAGTATAGTTGTAGTGCATAATTCTAACACACTTTGACATGATGGAATGTCGCTTCTCTATTTTCTTGTTAACCACTCATAAATATTTCGCTTACTAGATAGCTAATTTTTGATTCTTTTTCTAATAATATCAAAACGCAGCACAAAAAACATTTTCTCACTGGATCATTCAATCCATATCTTTTATTTCATATAGAAAATAGAAATTATACTGATAGATTTTATTTATTGTAATGTCACTTGAAAAGTTTTTATTTGCATAGGATTGAGTGTTACTATTGTATCTTTCAATGAAATCGAATCTAAACATATCATGAAAATAAATGTATTAGTTTAATATAAAAAATTAATTTTTGTTTTTTTCGATACCTGTTAATTTCGAATGAGATGATTCATTATTAATTGTTCTCCAAACAAGTCGTTTCATATCATTTAATGGTAAATTAGCTCCAAGTGTTAATTCAAGTATATCAATAATTTTACCTAAACTATTAAATAAATTTTGTAAATCGATTTGAACTGGTTTAGAAAAAGTATCGTCTTCATTCAATTCAAAATAGTGTTCAACTCGTATAAGAAATATTTTCGATGTCAATTGATCTAACGTCAATAAATGAACATTATATGGCATTGATTCAATTAAAGCTGACCATGTTTGACGAAAACTATTTGCATAATTAGCATAAGATAATTCTGGTAATGCATAAGTACTAATAGGATGCATATAAATATGTTGAGCAGTAGGACGATGATAAACAGCACTAGATTCCGGTGGTTCAACAATGAGAAAATGTTTGCCACATATTACAAGACCTTTACCATATGCTGTTTCGTTCATTGGTTCACCAACACCTTGTGAATCATCATAAAGTGTACGACGATGAACCATAAGTTCAACAGAACCATCATGCATACTTGAACCACCTTCAGAACGATCTAAATTAAATAAAATAAAAAAATCAAAATGCATGATTCAAACATTGTTCAATACTAATTTCTTTCTACCTGTAAGTATAGTCATTTGTCGTTGATTATCTTTAATCCAAATACGACTTGGAACTGGATAATAATTTCCACTAACACTTTCATATACTGTATAATTCCATGATGGTCGATAATCTCTTTTACGTTCTAATACTTCACGTCCATTAGCATCCGTATAAAAATATCCATTACTTTGAATATCTGTATCATAACGCATAATTATTTCTTTACCAATATTATCATCAATTGGTATTGGTCCAACAATCCATTCAATTTCAACTATTCTGGTATCATTATAAATTTTGATTTCTTGACTAGCCCAATCATTATAAACAATCAATGCTTTTTGTACTTGATTTGTATAAGTACATGTTCTAAATAATATAACATATTATTCAAAAAAAAAAAAAAGTTCTCAGTCATTATTTTATACTGACATATTACGTGTATTATTAACAGGCGTTGTATTCGGTGTTAATGGTCGAAAGAAATAAGCACCTGATGCTTGAAATTCAGGACGAGAATTATTACCTGGAAAACCTAATATTAAAAATATCATAAGAAAAACGATGATATATATATTCAACTGCATAATTATTGATATTTACTTGTATACCAATATAAACCTTGAGCAGTAAATAATACTGTAAATTCTTTATCTTTATTAGTAATAGTATTTAAATTGCCTTGATCATCAAATTCAGCTCGAAGATACTAAATAAATAGTAAAAAAAAAAGAAAAATAATATATAAGATTTATTTTTCATTCATTACTTGATTTTGAAGTATACATGCTTCATTATGTGTTATTCTGATAGTAGATTTTTTCTTTCTACTTTTAGCTTGAAAATAATAAGTATTAAAACCAAGAGCAGGTAAAGATGCTCGAAATAATAATTCATATTGAGCAGAACTAGTTCGACCAGGAATATTTTTCATTGGTTCAGATATTGGAAGTAACTAAACAATTAAAATAATAATAATATTAGAAATGAAATTCTTCAATAAAAATTTACTTCAGCTACAATTATTTCACCAGTTGGATCATGTATCGAATAATCTTTTGTTACTGGTACACGGATCATATTCTCAATAGAATGAATAATTGGATTCCAAATTGTTAATGTAAACTATTGAATATTCTATTAATAGATGATTTTTTTTCCGTAAATGCTTTCACTTACACTATTTTGTCCTTCAATTGGTAAACATTCACTAATATTTGAAAACTGACATAGAAATTGATTTGGTACTGTTAATAATTGATTTTCTTTCAATAATAATTTTTTATAAGCTTCATTAATAACATACTAGAACAAAAAAAATAAAATATAATTATTATCAATTTTTTTTTATGCAGAATAAAATTTTCTCACAATGGCTGAATCAATGCCTTGTGATAAACGTTGAGCATAATCATTAGCAACATGTTGTTTTTCTGTTCCTGAAACTGCATCATGATGTTGAGCAACACCCATTGCTTCATCTATATAGATTTAAACATACGTTTATATATTCTTCATTACATCAGGAAAAAAAAAATATCTGCTTTTCTATTTATACTTAGAGGAAAAAATGTTTGACGTAGTGTTGTATTAGAAAAGGCATTAAGTTGTCTTGTTACTTGAAGAATATTATTTGAATAACGTTCATATCTTTTCAATGTTGGTCTTGAAGTAAAAAAACCAGTCCAAAGTCCATGTTGAGTATAAGAAATAGGAAAAAAATCATCTGTTTTCGTTGTCCATGTTCGATTAGCTTGATTCAATGCATATAAATAACATGTAGGAGTAGAATAGAATAGATTAACATCGCTACTATTCACTTGCTAAACAGATTTTATAAAAATAATTTTGCAAAAATCTATGTATGTATTTACAATTACCTCAGCATTGACATGTTTAATTAATTTATCTAAATTTTTATACCATTCATGAGCATTTTCATAATGAAAATCGCTACCCATGGTCATCATTATATGATTTGTTGTATAACTACGAGCCTAACAAAAAAAAATACATCGATAGATAATGATAAATTTAATGTAGATTATATTAACTTGAATATGTGCTGCATCAATAAATGCTTGAACTCTTTCAGGTACATTATAATCAGATAATTTTGGATCATCCTATATAAATATTGAATGTGTTTATTTTCCTTTGAGAAAACATCTATGATAAAACAAACCTTGATAGGTTCATCACGACAGTGATAATCAAAACAAAATGATGATGGTGGACTATAAACTCTTGGCAATATACCACTAAAAAGCCAACTTTGTTCACCTAAATTAGCACTTCCTTTCCAAATCATTTCCATTGTTTTTGTTCGATTTCGTTCATCATAATCTTGAAAATCAACTCTACCAAAAAATAATCCATCAAAACCCATCTAGAAATTAGAATTGATTTTGAAAATTAAGTTTTATTTTAATAAACTAACTTGTGCAAATAGTGATGCTGTTTCTCTTGCATGACCAAATGGATCGATTTGCCAGCCAAGTTTAGGTCGACCACATTCTCCAAATTGATCACGTAAAAATTCTGCACCTAAACTATGTTGATCAATAATTGAGTTGTAATGTGTTGCACCTTCGTCATTCATTGACCATCCACCAGATATGAATTCAAGACGACCTTTATATATGAGTAAATATTTCATATTAATTTTTTTTAATATTACATTCATTTACCTTCATTAACAAGTTTTCTTACTGTATTTTTTGTATCTTCGGTTTGTTGCATCCACCAACGCCAGAAAAAAGCTATTTCAACATAAATAAAACGACGATCTGGATCCTCTAATAAAGCTGCAGTAACTGAATCAAGTATATGTTGAACAGCAGCATGTTGAATATCATTACGAGCTAGTATAAAAAGAAAAGAATTTATAATTCAATAGAATAATAAAAAAATTCTACTAACCGCCATAAAAATATTGATCTACAGTTTTTAGCCAACCGACATCATCATGAGTGTGTGGAACAATATGAACATTAAGTTTATCAGGTTGGCCTAAATTACACGCCTAGAAATCGAACACATGAATATACAAAAATAAACTTTATTAATTCATTTCTTTCAATTAAATATAGCTTACATTGTAGCCACAACTCTCGGTTGGTTTACGCGGTGCTCCGAGACATCCTAAAA